ACACACACACACACACACACACACACACACATGTTCTTATACCGTACACATCATATACATATGGAATCACCATTTTTCCCGGAAGACTCTTCACCCTCTAAATTGCAAGGCAACCCTGTACATTGCTATCAATCTCAAGATGTATCTGGATGCTCCCAATCAATTTCATGGACTTCATTAATGACTCTCTTATAGGAAGAAGCAATGAGGCCATCACTGATGGTGAAAAGATATATTTTGGAGCCACAAGATATAAACAATTATAGCTTTATCACTGCATAAATGAACAACTAGTTATTTTTAACTTATCAAAACATATGCCACTATTTGCAACACTATATATTCACAGAAATAATATAATGCCTATTTCTCAGGGGTTTTACAAGGCTTATTAATATAACCTACAATGCACACACATATATAAATGTACAGACAGCTACTGTATCAAGCGTCATCAGGATATACAATACACATAGAAAATACATTTCCAAGAGAACCAGATACATTTTCTGTGCAACATGAAAGTCTTGGATATGCCTGTGAACATATGGTGGCTAGATGAGCCTGCATTTTTGATGTCTCATGCTCTTGCTGTATCTCACACTGCCTGGGCTACCTCCTGTGCTCAGCTGGATTTCTTACTACCTGGATTCCAGAAGACCTCACTTCTTAGTTTCACTTTTGATAGGTTTGTGATTTCATGCATTCCTCAGAGTTTATATATTGGCTGCTCTAAATTTATATCTGAAACTAAAACTCTCCTCCAATTCATACCTTATATACCGCTTTCCTATTTGCGATCTGTTTCTGGGCACATCAAGATCATCTCAAATTTAAAATAAGAAGACAATCATTTTTTTTTTCTTCTACTCACCTATTCCTGTATCAGTCTATCCCATGTCTATTGTTAGTGTTAATCTAAGAAGACAGAATGCCAGGAATAGACTCATTCTTTTCTCTATCTTTCTATCCATATCTAGTTCATTAACATACCCAGTAGCCTCTATTGCTTTTATATAAAAATTATATCTGGGGAGTGAGTGTAAAAATAAATAAATAAATAAAAATATACATTCTGTGTGTGGGGGATTAAATCTATGTCCACTTCTTTCTATTTTTACTGTTTCAGTCATAGCCAAGTCACTGTCATCTATACTAAGTGTTCTTATCAGATTTCTTTAGTTTGCTATCCAGAACATCCTACTGCCTGAATAATCCTAAATGTGGATTTTCCCTGTCATTTTCCTACATGTTCAGAATGACTTTCAGTTGCAATTAATGTTCATGTTTCTTTCTCTTTAAAAAATATTTTATTAAGTTTTTGTGCATTTCCTGTAATAGATCTTCATTAAATTTAGACTCCCTCCCCCATCTGCACACCCAATAGCCCCCACATTTTTGAATTTCATGCATTCTATCAAATGTTAAGTTCTATCTGGTCAAGCATTTATCCTTCGGTGCAAGTCCATCCACTTTAGTGTACTCAGCCTGTATAGAGTAACTCCCTTAAAAGAGATCTACTCTCCATCACCCAGCAGCAATCAGTTGCCAATAATTCTTCATCTAGGGTTGGGACTTGATGTACATTTCTGTTGTTCTATGCTGGGTTTTTGTCTGAGTTTTATAAAAGTTTAGGAGTACCAGCATGGCTCTTAGCTTTCCAGCTGCATTATGCCTCCGTTCCTCCCTTCCTTTTTGCTCCAGTTACACTTTCAACATGAGAATCTTCTTTTCATCGTTCCTGCCATCATTCTTTTTGTTCATTAGTTGTCCACTAATGCTGTTGTTTAGAATACTGACTTATAAATTCTTTGAGAATCAGGACCATATATACCTTGTTTAGTCTTGAATATTCAGTCCACAAGAGAGAGGAATAAAATAGAAAAGCCATATATATGTGAAAAAATGAATATATAATTGGCTTAATAGGTACTCCAAGAAAGAAAATGGTAAACGTATTAATGTACAACATTTTACTCCTTTTTATATCATCACCTATCTGATAATTAATACAAGTTTGAAAGAGGTAAATAGTTTAACATATAAAATAGAGAAAATCATGAGGCTCCAGCATATATATGGCTTTGCTAAAAAAAAAACAAACCATATTTAAACACACGATATTGAAAGCTCAGCCTCATATGTTTGATAGATCTTGTCTAGTCTCATATTCTGGCATTAATAACAAGTCACACTTTGTCATTGTCATTGATTTTCTTCACTTATTCTCCATTTAATGACCATGACAATAAAGACTCACCCCAATTCTTTGGTCTTAGGGATCTGAATGGGTATCTTGGGAGTGTTCAGATAACTTCATGAGAAAATTAACCAGCATTTTTATTCCTTTTTTTCTTGTCTAAAATGTCAGCTTTTGTACCAAATATTTTTTTTTACGTATTGCCAAACACTTCATTATTCTGGAACATGTAGTTATTGATGAGATTTTAATTTTAGTGTTTGGTACTATACAGAGCAAACCTTTCTCTGCTGCCATGGAAACATTTGAAGGAAACAGTGAAGAGGGAGTAGAAGAAGTTAGAAATGTGACTTAAGTTTATGTTCATTTTGTGTCCATACTAGATTTTTTGAAAACCTGAGGAAGTTTAAAAACCATCAGTATTCTTGAAGAGGCAAAATAATTGCATAAATTCCTAAAGAAATGTCACCTGTGTTTCAAAGGTAGTCTGTGAGACTTAGTCATTTTCAAACAATTTAAGATTCTAGGTTGGTAAGGATGGTAACATCCAAAGTAATCTATTACACAATACGTTTGAGTACCTGAAACCATTAATATGTCAGTTTTTTTTCTTATTTTGCATATTACTGAAGAATTTGCTGTTGGAAACGTTGGGTAATTTTTTTAATCCTATGAATTTAAATTGAAATAAATGATTATGTTTATAGCTACATTATTTCTACTTAGAAATAATCTTTCCAGCCCTATAAATCTTAGTGATGTGGAAATTTTTTCTCGATCTGGGATAGAGGACCAATTATGTAAATTTTAGTATAAGACTCTTCAATTATTTTGAAAACTCTCTGGAGGACCAAGTGTAATGGCAGAAAATTATCTGCCTTCACCACCTAACCACAGAATTTCTTTGGAACGTTAATAACAACAGCAACAACAACAACCAACAACAACAACAACAACAAAGGATTCTGTCAGGAATGCATGGGGCCTTATTCAGTTTAAAAGACTAAAATAGTTGGTACTTTATGTTGATCACCATAAGCCAACCCAATGAATACCACTGCCATTCATGAAGAGGGAATATTCTTGTACTGAGGCGTTAAGCATTTTACTAACACTTCTTTTTTTAAAAAAAATTATTATTTTTATTTTTTGTGTATGAGTGTATTGCCTGCATGTGTTTAAGTGAACCCATGTCCTGCAGTGCCCGTGGAGGTCAGAAGAGGGCATCAGATCTCCTGGAATTGGAGTTACAGATGGGTGTTAGCTGCCATGTGGGTTCTGGGACTCAAACCCGGGTTCTCTGCAAGAGCAATCAGTGCTCTTAGCCATTGAGCCATCTCTTCATCCCCTTACTAACACTTCTTAATCTCAAAACTGGTACCAGGCCTGATGGTGCAGGCCCTTAATTACAGAACTAGGGAGACAGATCTCTTGAAATTGAGGCTAGCCTGGTATAGTGAGTTCTAGGTCAGCTGGAGGCTACAAGGAGATCCTGCTTCAAAACAAAACAAAGCAAAACAAAACAAAATAAAAAACAGAACTTATATTTGAAATAGTTTATGATTTTCCCCAAAATTTGTATGCCTGTTACTTACGTTTTCAGGGCACTTCGCTTTGTAATATTCCAGCCTGCTACTTTCTCTTCTATCGTTTGATTTGAAATGATCACCATCCTCATTCATCTCTGATGTTTCTTCTATACTATATGAACACAGGCTTATGTATTACAGGTGTGACTATTCAGTTTTCTTTACATTGCATTGGAAGAGGACGAAAATATAGTTTCCTGTTTGTTTGTTGGTAGTAGTATGGTGTGAAGTCAATGTCTTGTGTATGCTAGACAAGTGCTGCGCTACTGAGAAACATCTCCAATTCTTTAAAGACAACTTCTTTATAATTGAATAACTAATACATGCTTAGGGAAGAAAATTTGGAAACAAATTAAAGCCTAACGAAAACTAAAATAAAATGACAATTGGCAACAGTCCCATCCCCCAGAGGTCACTAATTTAAAAAACTATATGTTCTCCCTCCCTATTATATATATATAATATATGTATATTATATATATATATATAGTGAGTACCTGTATCTAGGGCTTGGTTTGCTCCTTCCTTTGTCTTCTTTGGCTCTGTAGTAACTAGTTGGTGCAGTCTCTGTCCTTATTTCCATATCAATACCTAAAGAAGTACTTTATAGTACTATAACTCTGTATTAAATTCCTCCACATCTCCAGTTATCCCAGTAGTGCCAATACCTCTTTCAATATCTTTGTTTCAACTCTTTCCCATGTCCGGTTTATTTTCCATAGTGGAGCTAGAAAAAATTATCAGGTTTGAAAATATCAAAAAGCTAATTCACACCCCTGAATACATTACAGTGGATTCCCATTATGGTTAAAGTAAAATCTAACTCCTTTTTCTGCCTGAAAAAACATATGGTTTATATATATATACATTAAACGTTTTCTAGATTTAATTTACAGTCTAGGTTTGATACTAGGCTGTTCTTTGTCACCTCTGCCTGAAGATATATACCTGCCATATATCATATTTGGTTTTGTGTACTTCTGATGAACAAATGAAAAATAATTCAAAGAAGTCAAGACCGAGAAGCTATATCACCTGTTTCATGAAATCACAATGATGATAGACCACAAAACACTTTCAATTCTGTTCTTTTGTAATCTGTTATATCATAGCCGTCTATCTGTCCACTAGCATGGATGGTCAGAGTCTTCTTAAACCAGGTGTACTTATGCTGTTAAGGTACTTAGGCATATTCTTTTGTATTTTTTCAGGTTTTTGAATATCATGTTAATATGGATACATCTAAGTAAATGCTACTTGGGCACCTGGTCATCCTTTAGAGAATACGTCTAAATTGTTGGCTAATTTTTTGATGTGCCACTCAACACAGGACATCATTTGATAGTACCTACTGGAAATCTGCATTTCCCCCACCATGATGTCTTTATCAGCTTGAACTCCTTTCCTAAAATGGTCCTTCTGTTGATCCTGTCAGTCCTACTTTTGAAAGAAGATGTCCGTGGGAGTGCACAGTCTAATGAGAGGAGAGTGGTGGCTCATATGCCCGGTGACATCATTATTGGAGCTCTCTTCTCTGTCCACCACCAGCCAACGGTGGACAAAGTTCATGAGAGGAAGTGTGGGGCGGTCCGTGAGCAGTATGGCATTCAGAGAGTGGAGGCCATGCTGCACACCTTGGAAAGGATCAATTCAGACCCCACACTCTTGCCCAACATCACACTTGGCTGTGAGATAAGGGATTCCTGCTGGCATTCGGCTGTGGCCCTAGAACAAAGCATTGAATTTATAAGAGATTCCCTCATTTCTTCAGAAGAGGAAGAGGGCTTGGTTCGCTGTGTGGATGGATCTTCTTCTTCCTTTCGCTCCAAGAAGCCCATAGTAGGAGTCATTGGGCCAGGCTCCAGTTCTGTGGCCATTCAAGTCCAGAACTTGCTTCAGCTTTTCAACATACCTCAGATTGCTTACTCTGCAACCAGCATGGATCTGAGTGACAAGACTCTGTTCAAGTACTTCATGAGGGTTGTGCCTTCAGATGCCCAGCAGGCACGAGCCATGGTGGACATAGTGAAGAGATACAACTGGACCTATGTTTCAGCTGTGCACACAGAAGGTAAGTAATTTCCTTTACATACACTGAATATGTCTTTAGATACTTTTCAATACATCTCAGACCAATTTTCAGGTTTCAAGCCTAAAACAGTCCAAACCATTTTGAAAATATTGAGAAGCCTCAATTTGCCAGCATGATAAAAGGGACAAGATGATCAATACCTATTAAACTATGTTAAAGCTAATACAGTCATTTCTGTAGCCACCAACTGATTAAACAGTAATTTTTGAATTATTTATTGCATTATTTTGATTTCTGCTATAATGATGCCCTTTGATATTTGTGACCAAAGGCATTTTAATTTTCTGTCTTTTTGATGAGCATCCCCTATATGTAAAATTTTAGCACTGCTTTAACTACCTATTGTTTTTGATAGTAAAAGGGAGGTGTATATAACTATACATGGTAGTGAAAGCAACCAGTTTTAGTCTAGTACATTGTTCTAGTGAACTGCAGATAGTTTAGACTTAAAAGTGTTTTTCAAATAGAATGCACAGTCAAATCTTAAATAGCCATGAAAATGAATTATTTTATTCTTAGGTGGGTTATATTTATTTAAAAAGTACAATTTTAATAATTCTACATGTTTTCTTTGAAATTCAGTGCTTCGTCATACTGAAAAATAGTAAGAAAGAAAATACTTGACTGATGCCTTACAAGTTAACAGTAATTAGTTCATTGTTGCTCAAGGCACCTTAAAATGCTTTTACATGTTCTGCTATTTAATCCTTTGACTAAGGCTGTTGAGATATTTGTCTTGATGTCTAAGAGTTATATGACCAAAATATTAAGACTCACTTCTTATGTAGCAGTTTTCTTAGGACAACAAAGTACATTAAACCCTACAGAATACTGAAGAAGGCACTAAACACATTCTAAAAATCAACGGATTATTTTGAAAAGTGTGCCATTATAATTTAACAGAAGTAAATGGACTTACCTGAGGATAAATTTCTACAACACATATTTATTAAGCAAAATGTATACAAGTATACATTTGATAATTCTGTAAATTATAGCCTTCAATGGGTTTAGAGTCTGGGAAAAGGGATGAGGCAAGCACAGATACTATGTAACCTAGCTCAAAGTGACAGAAAATTAGAGATAGTGTCTCTAAGGAATGTTGATGAAGAATAACATTACCTTCTGTTCTGTGTTATGAGAGGCATAGTGGAAAATTTAGAGAATGTAATGACTGAATTGTAAGAGGAAGAATATTCATAATTGGTAAACAAAAATCAACCCCAATAAGTGATGGATTCAATCGAGGACTTGAAGAAATAGAAGATGAGGACTTCCATCTAATGTCAAAAGGGTATGGCTTGGTCATCATACAGGAGAGACTAATTTAAGATAATGCTCCAAAGGAAAGTAATCATCACCCTTTTATTTTACTAACTTAACTTTTTATTTTAATCTAAATTGGAACCAATACCAAATAAGTAATCTAACAAAATTCACCATTATATATTCACATAATACATTGTTTTATATATATATTAAAACGAATGACATACTGGATTGCTAAGAATATAAGAATTATAATTGCCAAGATCATTTTATGTGAAAACCAATATTAAGTTTTGCATAGTTGTAATTCTATATTAAGTCATTTAGTGGGATATTCAAAGAACTTCTAACAGAAAAGAGCAAAATTGAAAAATTCCTCATTCTGAGAGGAAATCCAAGTCATTCTGGAAAATGGTAAAATGCAGGGTAAATTTTCTGTGTTCATTTAATGTTCTGTGATACATAAATTCCACATTGTAATATATCAATTAGAAGAAAGTATTCTGTTTGAAGGACTCAAAATAAAACAATAGAAATTGTGTTGGAAAACGTAATTGAAATATAGAGTGATTCAAACAGGATTCAGGAATGAACGAGCTTTCGGTCTGAATATTCAAAAACTAGAAGATTTACTCTTTGGATTGTTGATTTTTGTGATTTGGTCAGGAAGAACTTTGATTACAAACAAGATTCTGGATAGTGAAGACACGTAGTATGATATTTTTAGTTTATCAATATGAGCCGGGTATCAGGAGTTTCACAAAGTAAAACTTTGGTATTCTGTTGTATGGTCCTTTGGAAAAACTCTGGCAGCTTATCTAAAATGAAAGTATCTATTCACATTTATTCTGTTCTATTCTTTCTTTCTTTTCTTCCATTCATCCATTGACCTCTCTATCAGCTATCTACATATTTCTATTTCTGTCACTATCTCTCGCTAGATTAGGATAATTCTTTACAGTTTTAGGTCAGTCTGCATACCTTTTCATTTATTCTGATATTCTTGTAACTAATCTCTTTTTTTTCAGTTAATACTCCTCTTTCCAGAAAAGTATTGAAATTTCCAGATGCTGTTATATGATCAAGTATGAAAAGGCAAATTGTTATTTCCTAAACCATTTTGTCCTCAAATATTTCACTGATTTTATGCTTAAACCTGATGGTACTATATCATCTAATCATTTTGGAAACTATCAGAAGATGTTCACTCTAGGAAGTACATATGATCCAGAATTTCATAAGGAGCACAGGAGACCTGAACTTCAACTTGGGTTTTAAGCTCTTGTACTTGTATTTCCTGTAATTTATGTTGTCTGTAGGCTGCAGAAATGAATATGTACAGTGACTTTTAATAGATAAAAACGACACCTAGGATTTCTAGGCAATGAGATTCATTGTATAAAGTAACAGAAGAGAAAACACAGCATTCTTTTAAGGACAGGTCAAACCAGTTCTTCAACAGGATAGAGGAAAGGAAGATGCAATGAGTCAAAAGAGAAATTCCACTACTCTTTAATGAGTCAGCCCAGTCACCAACTTTCTCCTCTAAGAAAATTTAGAAGGTACTTTGACGCATTACTTTTCCAAAGCTTGGCACATGGATGCATTATGGCACAAGCTGGGTAGTGTTTGTCTGTAGGGCTGTGACAGATTAATCTCATTGGTGACCCCCATTAATGATTCTCCTGAATCCCTATTGTTTGCTTTGTAACTTGACAAGATAGTTTTCTTCTACTTTTGCAATACTGGCCTCATAGCTGGCTGCTTTCTTCACGAAAGCTTGAAGTAATGACCTGGAAGGACTGTGTATTGATCTAGGGCACGATGCCTTCTAGGCAAACACTCCATCACTGAGCTGTATACCCAGGCTCTTTTAATTTTAAGACACATTCTCATTAAGTTGCCAAGCCCAGCCTTGAACTTTCAGTCCTTCTATTTTAACCTTCCCAGTAGATTGGCTTATAGGCCTGCACCAACAGCCCTAGTTCAGACTTTCTTCTTAGTCTTCCTTGGACCCTACTGTCACTATGTCAAGCATGTGGCATTTAGATATTTCTGGAAGAAATCACTGTAGAATTTTTGATACCAGCCATGTAAGACCAGTCAGTGAAGATCAACACTAATGTCTTCCTGACACACAGCTGCTTGCAGTCACACAAATGAGAACAGCTGAAGCCATAAACATTACCCATTTGACCACAAGCCCAGTGGTGAGCAATAATAAATGCTTTCAGGATGGAGTTCAACATAAGCATATTTATCTCTATGACTTTAGATTGTAACTTGTAACAAATAGGATATCATATCCATGTTTAAAACTCAATATAAAAAAATTAAAATATGTTGATAGTATTGGCATAAAAATATGACCCAGCAGAATAACTGTTTAGGCAAAAAGTAGTTTACTTACATTCCTGTGCATTAGATATTTAATAATTCATAGAAATCTAAGCTGTAATGCATGTAAAATAGTAATATATTTGTGTATAGCCTGTATTACTTTCTTCCCAGTGATATAGCTCAGTTTCAATGAGGGAAGTAATTAATGGGCTGAGTTTTCTGTATAAAACCACATGTATCAAAGTCTACATGTGGTTTGCACGGTTTACACTTCATTATTTTTCCTGACCTTAGTTGGAACTCTAATATATATCCCTAGGGCCTATTGGAATGCCTAGCATAAAACAGGCATTGGAGAATGATTTGCTGAGTGGATGGATTTCCCTTATAACAGTACATATCTCATTATTTATGAATATGTGGCATGTGGATAAATAGCTGGCACTTGGAGTTTTCACAGTTTTGCTTTCTTATAAAAATGAGCTGCCAAAATACCTCCTTGATTAGTTGTGAGGTGCTGTTTACTCCTAACTTCCTTTTCTGTTTGTACTGGTTCTTATTTCTAGCTAATGATGCTAATTTATTCCAGGAAAAATGTCAGTGATGCTCTGGGGGAATGTATCGATAAGTCTTCCTGCAAACATCATCATGAAAACATTGTCTTCAGATCAACCTATGCAATACCTGTTTAAAGTGGTGGTGTGTTTTTCATCAATTATTTAAGAAAATGACAATATTATTTTTCCAAGATTTCATTGTGAGTCACTATGCTTATTTCAATATTTTAAAAGATTTTAGTAACATGTTAATTGCATGTATTAATAGAATTCACTGAATTTTTCCATATCTGCATACTGTATCCACTGAGATACTACAATCCGCCCCCCCCAGCTTAATCACCTCTGGTAAATTCTTAAATAAACTTTGAGATCAATTGTTAATAACTTCCTCTATGTGAGGGAGGGATCCTACGGGGCTTGTCTGACTTGTTCTAGGTTATGACTTGCAGTTCATTCATTTTGCTACGAGGGACGCAATTTCATTCTTAGTACTTAAACATACTCTACCTTTTCTTTATCCGTTCATTTGTTGTTGGATCCCTGGGTAAATCCTGCATCTTATCTACTGTGAATATTGACAAACTTCTAAAAAAATAATATGGGTAAGAAGGTGTAAGTATGCGCAATTTTTTTCTGTCAAATTTTTCGTACTAATCATCACCGTATCTAGACATCAACTTAGTCTGGGAAATTGATTAGACATGTCATCAGGGAACCCACTGAATAGTTTTAAAGCATTTTTATTTTGTTGCATAGGGATAGAAAAACGTTGAATGTTAAGACAAATTAGAAGATGATAATGGCAATAAT